CAGACTGGATAATTCCCTTGGTCTTGTATTTATAAATGACTCCGGAATATACGAAGCTCGAAAAAGAGCTCCACTGTTTAACTCAGATCATTGTATTTTACGGGTTTCACCCAAATTTTACGGAAGGTTACGCAAGAGAACTTTTTCACACCTTTCCAAGAAAACTGTACATGGATGTTACTCTATGGAGAATGTTCAGAACCTCAGAAGCATGCTCAAAGATACAAGGTGGGACCTGTTTAAAGAAGACTCTCTTGATGACAAAATCTCTAATATTACAAGTTATCTCAAATTTTGTCTTGATACATGTTGTCCCAGAGAAACGCTCTTCATCAGATTTGATCGTTTCTCCTCCCCCCAACTTAAAAATCTTCGCAGACAAAAAGCAAAGTTATATAAAATGAAGGATAACACTAGTTTGAAAAGAATTAACATCCTGATAGAGTCTGAAATGCACAGATTGAATTCAATTTACAACCGAAAGTATATATCCTGTATAAATGCCTCTAAATATGGAAACTCTTCAAAGAAATTACTGGTGGTAAGCAGATGAATAGTATTCCTTATTCCCTTGATGTTTGCACACTAATCAAGTCCTTCATACATTCTCCCGCAAATGCCAAACTTTCTACTGTTACAAGTGTTAATGAAACCTGCTTCCCTGGTTTTACTACAAATGATGTTCTAAAATGTCTCCAGTCTCTGAACCCTTCTTGTAGCCTGAGTCCAGATGGTTTGCCTAGTGTTATTCTTAAAAAGTGTGCAGATATCCTGTGTTATCCTCTCATGGACATATTTAACGAATCTTTTTCTAAAAATGTCGTGCCAGTCGTTTGGAAGTAAATTCAAATTGTACCTATAGCTAAGTCGTCTATTGCAACATGTTTTAAATTTAGACCCATTGCTATTACCCCTTCTTTTCTAAAAGCTATGGAAAAGTTGCTCTTACTTAATCTCGAAGCCTCACTTAAAGCCTTTAACGATCCGAAACAATTCGCCTACAAGCACAGTAGAGGTACTTCAGATGCAGCTGCAGTCTTGTTTCATAACATTGTCTCCAGCTTAGACAAGGGGGCTAAATTTGTTCGCCTCACCTTCCAAGATTATACATCTGCTTTCGACTCAGTACCTAGAGACATTTTGCTAAACAAGCTTGCTGAAACTCAAACTGACTGTTGGGTTGTCAAATGACTTCATTCTTATTTCTTAGGAAGAGAGCAGTACACTGTATGTCAGGGAAAGTCGTCTACTTCATTGCTTACTGAGGCTGGTGTCCTTCAAGGCACTGTCCTTTCACCTTTTCTGTTTTCTTTCTTCTTGCATGACTTGCCTGACTTGGATGAAATGAACTTTGTTAAATATGTGGACAATCTAACCATTTCAGTGTCTGGTAACTCCCAGCTAGACTGTACTAAGATGAACAGCCTTCTATCAGGAGTCAGCAAATGGTCTTCGTCTAATGGTCTTAAACTAAATCCTTCCAAATGTCAGACTGTTGATTTCAGTTTCCGATGTAAACGAAGTTTAAATGAAGCCGTTGGCTCCTATGACCCTTGTAGAACTGATGATAGTGATATGGAAACCAAGTCTGACATTAAGCATCTTAGATTAATTCTCTCCTCTGACCTATCCTGGTCCTCCCTTATCTTAGCGGTTTCTTAAAGAATATTTTGTCTGTCTTTATACGTCAAGAAGTTAAGGCCCTCGGGCATCACTCTACCCTTCCCCTTATAGTTTGTCAACTCTTGCATCTTACCTATTCTTCTTTATTGATCACACTTATTCTTTCCTGGGTTGCTTAAAAAAGACTGTCATACTTTGTAGAACTCTGAAGACTGTCAGTAGGGCGAGTGGTATCTCATTGGGCTATATCCTTGACATCGTCGTTAGTAGACACTTGGTTTCAAGCAACAAATTCGCTAAATGAATTTTTTCAGACTGTTTGCATCCATTTCAGCTCCCACAGCTTTCACCTTGTGTCTCCTCAGGTTAAGCAAGAAGTCTTTTCAGAAGACTTTATGCACGTACGTCTAAGTATAAAAATTGTACTACACCACATTTGGCACGTATTTTCTGTGATGGAAACAGTGTTGAAGACGAATTAACTAACCTTCACACCATTAGCAAATGAACCATTTTCACCATCCTTATTCAAGGAAGCTTTATTGTTTTTATCCTTATTATACTTACAATCCTCTCACTGCTTTTTTGTCTATTTTCTCATTAGTTTAAGCATCATTTTAGCTGTGTAATGACTGCTATTTCTTATCTTTCCTCTCACCATACAATATCAACAGAACATTAGATCCAATTATCTATAAAATGCTTAAATTTCCAAACTGAATTGACAATACCATTTGAAAGAAACCCCCTGTTATTATTATATTAACTGTTCTCATTTTGTAATTCGAATACTTTTGACTTTATGTCGTAAATATAGACAAATTCCCACGATTAATTTTGTTTTAATTTTTAATTATATTTATATTTTGAGTAAATCGGATGCAATATTGTGACAAATGCTGGGAATTCCATTCTGTATTATAAGTGCTCTTTTTGGAATAAAGTAGATTATTATTATTATTTGAGAATTTTAAGCAGACTTTGTTGGTAGCAGGCCGGTGAAAATTAATAAAAGTGGCGACACCACCACGTCGCTTCTTCCTTGAACTGAGTTGGTCCTTTCTGTACATAATGAAAACCATTTGGGGAGACTAAATTGACATCGTATGAAACGTGGAGCCAGGTTTCCTAAAGCTTTAAAACACCTGTATTACAATAAACATTTGAGGATAACAGAGCATACAAGTAACTAATCTTGTTCGATAATGACCTGCAATTTGTGCTCAAAATCACAACAACAGCTACCTGATGCATTGGAGTAGACTTTAAGGCTCGTTGCCACCCACCATGATGCTTTTTTAGGACTTAACTAGAAACTCGAGAATCAGCAAGTTGAAAACGTTTTAAATAATCGCGAGAGTAAATAATACGATTTGGACACATTACTGAATAATTAAAACAAAATAGATCTGAATAATCAGATACAATATTCATGAGGCAAAATTTTGGTAACCCAAGGTTTAAGCAGGCCGCCGTGATAAATGAAGAGTCAAATATATACGACCTCAGCCTTGCACAGTAAGGCCTACTAAATACTCTGATTTTTGCGCTCTCTAAGCGCAATATTTTCTTCATCGTTTAAGGCCTTATAACCTTTTTTTCGTAACCTTAAGTAAATATTTTGTTTATTTATATTGGCTAATAAATCACTTCCTGTCTATCGCTGACGGCTGTATCCAAGAAAGTCAACTCCTATTCTTGGAGGCTAAGCATCGTATATATTGACATGGCTTCGCCGCAGATTGATAAAAAGTCAAAATCTTGTGGTAAACTGTAAGGATAGTAGTCGTTAGATCCCCAGAGAAGAGCCTTTCCTAGTCTAGGCATCGTATAAGCTAAGGAAATACATGTGACTGATCTCTTCCGAGGCACACGACCAGTTTATGCATTTTAATGAACACAACATTGTATTCAATGGTGAGATTATCGTGTTTTAGTCCTGGAATCGGAGGCTGACGTGTATGTTCGGCCAGGAAATGTTAATCTGAAGACTGAGGATCGGGCTAATGTTACCTCGGATGTGCTTCGGAACACTTTGATTACACTTAGATCCATCTGCTACATCCCGAAATTTACAGTAGCGTTGAGGATCACCAACGGGCTCACAGGAAATCACTACCATTGGTTTTCTGGGTAAATTTCAGTTTCTACTTATCCTTTTAGGTCCTTTCTCACACTTCTGCCTTGTTCTATGCCAACCTGGGTGTATTTCTGGTTATGCCATAATCGCATGTATAAGTGTATAGCATAATCATTCTTCCCAGAAGATGGCATCACCTAAGTATCCAATATTTAACATTTATCAGACGAAGAACTTTGCTGCACTCACTCAGTTGAAATTCATCGAAGACCCATAATTATTTGTGTACACTGATATGGGCTTACCATGAAAGTATCCAAAGTAAACTATATCATGAACGGCTAAAGAGATTAAGTCTTTTCACGCTTAGACACCGTAGGCTTAAGGGGACTTAATTACTGCGAACAAGATTGCAGACTACCAAAATCACCCAAACAAAGGTATTCTGCCATTAAGTATGCATTGGTTTCCTCGTGGGAATCCACGAAAGACAGCTCACAACAGGATAAAGACTCGAGTGCGATCCCATTTCTTTTCACTTCGAGTTTGACACCCTTGGAACTCCCTACTGCAAGGTGTGGCTACTGCACCGTCCGTAGACAGCTTTAGGGAGAGGCGACCATGCAGCGACACAAAGACTGCGTCCACTATTAATAAATATACACCTGAACTCGTCTTTTTTACTTCATCGGATTCTCCTTTTTCTTAATCCCCCAACTACTTCAACTATTAATTCCGTTGCACTGTTATTTATATTCATATTTTTGTGATACATAAATATGTTAATTTCAAATTTCATTAGCTGGCTGTTTTCAGATTTTCTTAATCTTTCTAAATCTATATAACCCATACTAATTACATGTTTTTATTATTGCCATCTGTTTTTTCTACCACACTAGACCACTAACGGGTAAAAGGATCAACTCCATTCACAGTAGCAACACGACCTTAACACTGTATACCTGCAATTAATAGTGTTCTCTGAGCTGGACGGCGATAGCTCCGCAACTTAACCAACAAGCTCAGAGAACACTATTGATTGCAAACCTGAGCTACAAATCTTCTCTATTACACCGTATACTAGAAGCTACATAATAATAATCTCAGTAATACTCCTTTTGGAGTCAACCAAAGCTACGACAGTCGAGTGGCGGGACAAGCCACGCAGACGTTTACCGAAGATCAGGAACCTCTACCTCACAATCAAGAGGCGAGCACAAAGAAATCAAATTGGTTTATACTAGCTCGTAGAAACGATATTGGATGTTGAAAGTGAGGCATTGGTTACCGCGGCTAGGTTGTTATGTCTTCGAGTGATGATGACGCTCAAGAAGGACAGGTCCCAGAGGGTTTTGATGAAGAAGATGCGGAAAATCCTGAAAAAGAAGAAGGTCTTAATGAAGAGGAAGTTCCTAAACGTCCTCTGACCAAAGAAATTATTGCTGAATGCATATCACTGCCTTATAGACTTGGATATGGTTTTTCACACGCTTATGTCAAGTTCGATTGTTCAGACAAGTTAGTCCGACTCCCTCCTTTTCTTTAAAGTTTACTAATAATACACGTAACTCGGTTAGCTGCAACTTAATTACATACATAACGTTAACACATTATTAACCGAAGCCGCATGTTTCCAAAATCACAAGACAAAAGACTAGGATATGCGTTTCCCTCTAACCCTAAATGCTGGCATTTCACTAAATTATTCGGAAATCATTGATAAACATCATATAAGCCTGTTAGTCTAGCTTAAATAAGTTTTATGCCGTTTATGCAATGTATTTACTTTAAAAACACTTTGCTGTCCTTAAAGGAAGCATACCAATGCTAAAGCTGTGTGAAACAACCCTACTTTCATGACCTATAATGCCCTGTTTCACTGCATTAGTAGTGTATGTCTCTGTTGTGTTCGGCTGAGGTTCTGTCTTTAATACTTACTAGTCACAGTTGTTGGTAGCCCGCTGAAGTAATATCAACTCATTTATTTTTAAGTTTCTGTGGTGGTCACTCACTTTTCTCACAGACGGGTTGGGAAAATTAGGGAGATAACTATGTGAGTCATTATTTAAACATGACATACCAAAATGGCAACACCTTTCCTTGAGCGATCTGTTTTCTTAAGGAAGGCGTGAGATCCATCTTGTGACTGCCCTTTGTGACCTTTTCAAAGGGCTTGTCTCTGCTTTTAAATAAGGGCTAAATGCTCGTGGATTTCTCAGGATGAGGTTTTATTTAGTCTTAGCCTTATCAAAGGTCGCGAATCACTCTGTTAAGTAATGACAAAGTTTGCAATGTTTTCCCTAGAATAAAGTTAAAAATAACCTTTAAGTCACGAAACAACCAGGAGAACACATAAGTTTACCATGATGCTAGTAGTATCGAAGATTCGGTAGGAATTTGGGGTTCCTACCTCAAACAGTTCAAAATGATACAGTACATCTCACGGTTTAAATGGTTTGCATGGACCTATCTGAACAGATGACAGCAATTCATTAATCGAGCGAAAGTTGATGCCCTTTGGGTGTATCAGTTCCGCAGAACTGAATGGTTCATGTCGCTTCATATCCAACTTCCATAGACTCAATGTGAGCAGGATTGTCACGCTGTTTCTTACACAACATCCACTGTAATGTTTTTCTTTACTAACGGTGCCACATAGTCTCATAGTATAAATTTTTACCAGCTGAACTGTAACTATTATGTGGTGAAAGTATACGGCACACCAGAGATTGAATATTCGGTCTTAAATTGGAAAAGGATGCTTTAAATTTATGGACCTCAGAAAGAACATCAGTTCACTTTCACACATTTTTCTACGTTTATGTTTTAACAAGAATATAAATCGAGGGCCTAATTCAAGTGTGGAATAACGTAGAAAAATGTATTGTTTTTCCGAGATTTGAAGTAATTTTCGAACTTTAGTTCAGATAGCCGGAAAGAACTTCATAATATTGAGACCTCATAAGCTTCTGAAGGAAGGAAGGAAGGACTTATGCTCGTATTAATTTTCTGAATGCACAATGTATAATTGCTGATCTCACACTAGCGCTTTGATGCATAACTGATGAAACGCAGTCTAGTCAACTATAATTTGGTTTGCGATACAACGTATATATATATCAGAATGTTTTAAACTGAAATTTAAATAAACTTTTCCTTCTGCATCTTCTCACTTCATTTAAAACAGAAATTTGCTGGATATTGAACTTCTCCGTAGTTATATTCATTTACGATTTATCATGATGAGTAATAATTTCATTACGGATATATCACCACTTTCTGAAATTCCAAATCTTATGTATTTAAAAGCTGATAATAATCAAATCACATCAGCTGAACCATTGAAATCGTTACGTTATATCGAATATTTGGATCTTTCAAGCAATAAAATTACAACGATTAATAATCTTTCTTTTCTGCACTTAAAACATCTCAAAGTGAACGGTAGGTCATGTCGTCTACACTTCAATAATTTCGAATAAATTAGCCATTTAAATCATACTACTGTGTATTGTATAAGTAGTTAGGAAGAATACAACAATGTTGTAAACGCGAAATGATTGTGTAAACTTTTATTTGCAGCTAATTACTTTACGACAAACCAATACATATCATCTAGGTATGTGGAAGGAATTCATTTATTAGAGCAGATTAGCACTACATGCCCTTTATAAACACTTTTACGTGATTCTGTATCCTAAACTGTCTGTTGACAATGGTTACAAAATCATTCCGCTTATATCATCCAAATGAATTTATTGCTATCGTTGGCTGGATTTCTAGAAGTCTTGTTTAATTTCAAGTTATGTATTCCAAACGAAAGTACTTAGCAGATTCTTATTCCCCGGTAAGATCGAGATTATTTATTACTGTTGAATCTTAATCTAATTTAGAGTAGACTGCGTCGGTGGCACAGTAGTTAGAACTCTCGCCGACCATGCACATGGTCTGAGGTTCGATTCCCTGCCAACGCACACCCGATATCAGTGGTGGGCCGGCAAAATTTGGGCTACCGATATCGTATGCTGAAAATTCCATACTTGTACCGAAAATACAGTGTGGAATCAAGCTGTAATCAAAAATGAAAAATGACTAAATTTCAAATTCTCCTAGAAATCAGATTCTAGATATTACATGGCTTTTTCTCACCATCCTTATGATATTAGTTTTTTTAATTCTAGAGAAAAATAATTCTATTTTGTGACACTGCGACTCTAATCTCATGTGAAAACGGCTTTGTTTTTTAGCTTGATAAAAACTTGAATGCTTGCGGTTGAAGTATTCACCGAAAGACTAGATTAACTAGAAAAAAAAGCTTTTACCTCCATGAAATAGAATCGTCTGGAGAATGTCACGCAGTTTACTTAAAAGAAAGAAGAAAGACACGTAATCCTCCAGTAAAGTTTACCTAGCTGTTAAACTCAGCGATAGCATGAACCCCGTGAAACTACAGAGAAGAGATATAAAGTGAAAATAGAAAACTTGGGACAGATGAATAAAAAATAAGATGATGATAACATTAAGGATTTTAAAACATGCTACAGAATGAATCCATCTACTATTATGTGGACAGTTATGAGTTACATGAATAATTCTCCAACTAGTCATTTAAAGCAACTGGAAAGTGAAAAAATTATCTCCCTAAAATGATTTAAGAGCAGAAATTAGTAACTTTGGCGCACTAGGGGCATTTCTGCTCAGTTACCTCTAGGTTTCTTCATTCCTAGTCCGTCGTACTGCAATTAATATTGGCTATCTGAGTTAACGAATATTTCTGCATTCATAAAATAGATCCTAGACATTTCATCTGACCCTCTCTAGTTGTCTGAGTCTAAATGAAATCAATTTAATGTTTACTCATATACTCAGTGCTTTAGACACACTAGAATCTGAATATTATTATTATTGTTTCCTTTAATTCCTAGAAGAACATAGGGCTTCAGCCGCGCATCTCCATTGCGTTCGGTTCTCTGCTAGAGTCTTCACCTGGCTCCAAGTCTGCCAACACGTTTTCATCTCCTCTTCACATCACCTCCTCCAAGTCACCCTCACACTGACGACCAACTCGCCGCTTCCCTTTCGGGTTCCAATCGAGCAATGGCTTGTCTAGCGATGTCACTTGATGGTTTCCTCAGAGTATGGCCAGCCAATCCATCCCCATTTCTTCTTCCCTATTTCTTTCACAATTGGTTCCTGCTGGATTAGTTCGCTCCCAGAGATCCCTGTTGCTGATCTTTTCTGACTGGCCATCTGATCTTGAGTAGTATTGAGCGAAGACGAGTGTTAATGAAGGTCTGTAGTTTGTTTGAGATGCTCTTTGTGACGCGCAGTGCAAGTCTCTGATCCGTATAGTGAGTAGCACTGACTTCACATTGGAGTTGAAAATCCGGATCTTATTCTCATTTTTATGCTGAGTGCTGTTGACCTCCACACAGACTTGAGAGTAGTGAAAGCTTGTCTTGCTTTTCCGATTCTTGCTTTGATATCCTCGTCAGTTCCGTCTGCCTGTAGTTGAAACGATGCCTCCCAGGTAGGTAAAAGAGGTTGTTTCTTTCAGGTTCCTTCCATTTATGCTGGCTGATTGTTGTCTGTTGTTGTTGTTGTTGCTGTTGGTGTTGGCCAGGAATCTTCACCACCTCTGTTTTCTCTATGTTCACCTGAATTCCTATCTTTCATGCTTCTTCTGCCAACTTGAGAATCTGAATATAACCTAAGGTAATCTTAAAGTTAAATGATGATTAATTAACTTTTAAAAATATTAAACTTTCGAAACACCAAAAAGAAAAGTATCTTTGTATACATAAAAAATGCTTCGAGGATGTTATCCATTTATTTTTATACAACACGTAAAATTTACAAAAAGAAACCCAATGAAGAATGTACGTACGGTTCATTGTAACCTTTCTGATTTTTATGAAGAAGAACACCGTGAAGATAGAACAGAAAACTAAAGATAAATGATATCGTTTTCAGAGTAGTAAATGGCCTTAAGAGTAAAATTAAGATCTTTACTTCCAGTTGAGTAATCTGAAGGCGCATATTTCTGTGTCAGGTAAAATTACGAATACCCCGTCTGTCATACAGACACAACAAATGGAGATGCAGCTTTGGGATGCATGGATATGTAAGAAAATTTCTACTGGTTTGCGTACTCCAGGAGCTGCTTATTTTATGCTGCTATGCTGCTATCAACAGGTCCCTAGTCTCAACTAGTTTGACCAAAACATAAAATACTTGATTATTTTAGTCGGAGCAGGCTGTAGAATCGCCTAACATAATGCTGGATAATATTCTTTGACAAATAATAAAAGAAATTCCTTGGTAATGAAAATCTATTTCAGCAATACCACCAGTGCATAAATTTAAAAGTGAGAAAAATGTAACATATTTGACAGGTCTACAATAATTAATGTTATTCTGAGGAATACACAGAAATTAAATAGGGTCTAAGGATGGATACCTGTTCGGGGCAATATAATTTAATAATCTGAAATTATTCAAGACTAAGTTTACCTACGCGTCGGTGGTTTAATGTTAAAGTTCTCGCATTTGGTTCAGGTTTGTTTCCCGTAGACACACTCCAAAACCTTTTTCTCAATTTTACTAGCCGATAGAAAAGAGGGAAGGTTAGACGTGAGACTAGCAACCCCAATCCTTAAGAACAACACCAACGCCATATGAACTTCAAAATCTTGAAGCTTCGAATTCTACTCTAAAGGTAGGGAATGGAAAAAGGTTACTCATTATCAGTCAGGTAATATGGCCACTCATTGCTTACACATCTATAAAATTTGAGTGTCTCTGTGGTTGTCTAAAATCTCAGTTTATGTTTGAACGATAAGTTTTTCATTATCCACTTAACTGTTGAACGTTGAGACTGTGAATTAAAATTCCACTTTGAATTATGTTTTTGTTTTAACTCCTGACGTCACAGTTTTCTGATATTTGGAGGCTTGTGATAAGACTATGCGCCCACTTTCTGTGCCGCTGACGGAACAAGGAATGAAACGAGAAATTTAGTCTAAATATTTCTTCAATTTGCACGTTTTCCTTTAACGGAAGTCATTAACTTTGCTTGTTGAGTGATGTATTATTATTATGATTATTGTATCCTTTAATTCCTACAGGAACATAAGGCTTCAGCCGTGCGTCTCCATTGAGTTCGGTTCTCTGCTAGGGTCTTCACCTGGCTCCATGTCTGCCCACACTTTTCATCTCCTCTTCACATGACCTCCTCCAAGTCACCCTTGCACTGACGAACAACTCGCCGCTTCCCTTTCGGGTTCCACTCGAGCAATGGCTTGTCTAGTGTTGTCACTTGATGGTTTCCTCAGAGTATGGCCAGCCAATCCATCTCCATTTCTTCCTGCTTACTAATTGCACAATCGGTTCCTGCTGCGTTGGTTTGCTCCCAGAGATCCCTGTTGCTGATCTTTTCTGGCCGGCCGGCCATCTGATCTTGAGTATTGAGCGAAGACGAGTGTTAATGAAGGTCTGTAGTTTGCTTGAGATGCTCTTCATGACGCGCCAAGTCTCTGATCCGTATAGTAGCACTGACTGACTTCACATTGGAGTTGAAAATCCGGATGTTATTTTTGATGCTGAGTTTTGCTGACCTCCACACAGACTTAAGAGTAATGAAAGCTTGTCTTGCTTTTCCGATTCTTGCTTTGATATCCTCGTCAGTTCCGTCCGCCTGTAGTTGAGACGATGCTTCCCAGGTAGGTGAAGGAGGTTGTTTCCTTCAGGTTCCTCCCATTTATGCTGATTGCTGTCAGTTGTTGTTGTTGCTGCTGTTGGTGTTGGCCAGGAATCTTCATCACCTCTGTTTTCTCTATGTTCACCTGAAGTCCTATGTTTGATGCTTCTTCTGCCAACTTGTTGCTTTTCGCTTGCATGTCTTCCAGTTTGTGGGAAATAAGACATATATCATCGGCGAAGTCCAGATCCTCCAAGTTTTTTGTGTGGGTCCATTTTATGCCTGTTTCCTCATTGCCCGCTATCTGTCGCATTACCCAATCTACCGCAATCAGGAAAATCATTGGCGATAGTAGGCAGCCTTGTGATGTATGAGTGATGGATGCAAATCTTTAACAGTACTTCCAGTCAAAGTTAAATTATTCCGTTAAAATTCCAAACTTTATTAAACTATGTACTTTGTTTACAAGTTTCTCTACCCTTTGCTTCAATGCTTCTTATATACAGTGTGTCCGATACATCAAAAAAACCTAAAAATTTCACAGGAGTTAGTTTGTAGAGATTTAATTTGTTTCACGTTTGATCACGGAGTGAAAGCAGTTAGAGAATTACAGAAATTCTGGGAGTATTGGACATTTGTTTTATTCTTGTTTGGGACTCTTCAGCAACACAAACCGACGACCCCAGAAGAGGTTGAACCCACGACCTTCAGGGTACGAGGCAAGCTCATCGATCATTCAGCCACTTGAATGGAATCCAACGGCCCACGAATTTTATTTTTTCTATCAGTTCACGATTTTAATGCAACAACCATGCAATGTCAATGGCGTTGAGTGCTGGATAAGGAGGGGAAATCAACAGACAAGGCTGTGAAGTTACATCAACTGAGATGGTTGAGATACGTGTAACTATGCCTAGCCATCGCCTTCCTTGACGGGCAGTGTTAGCTGACATAGGATGGATCCGGTTGGAAAAGAGACAGTGGTGGTCAAACCAAAACATGGCATCAGTCAATGAAATCCACAACAGTCAGTTTGAGCCAGCCACGTCGGGAGGTGTAGACTTTCTGGTTGGGGTTCTCGGGACGGTAAACACCAATGGCTGGAATTAATTGGTGATATGGCTCAAAATCATTCTAAATGGTGCAGATGCATTCACTCTTTGTGATTTATAATATGCAATAAAACTCTAATGATCTTCCAGATTACTATTGATTTTGCTTCATATCTCTGTTTACTGTCTCTATTTTGCATTTCTTTTCACTTTCTTGTCCTGCTTTGTGTGCTAAAGGAAGTGTGGCGACTCGAACTGCTTTACGTCAGCTCAAAGTTCTATGTTGAAACCAGTCAGTCAGCGTCACTGGCGAGTATCTGTCCTCAGACCTGACCTGGTGAACTCCTTGAAAATAAAATAACATTTCTCTACGATTTATATTCATTTCATTACTCGGTATAGTTCATATACATGTTGTATATTGTTTACTCAAGTCTTTAGGTACTTATTTTCATTTCCTTTTCATCTTTATTGACAGATAACGCAATTGCTACATTAAAATCAGAGAATGACACAAATCTAAGTTCTGAACAATTTCCAGCCTTGCATACACTTGAACTGCGCGGAAATCGTTTAGTTACCTTAAGCGGAATTGATGATATGATAAATTTAAAGACATTATATTGTGCAGAGAATATGTTACGTAGACTAGAAGGTATTTCTGGCTTGAAATCATTGGTACGCTTACATTTACGTGATAATCGTATAACAACGCTTAGCGGTTTCACAGAGTCGTTAACTTCATTGGAATATATCAACTTAAGGTGTGTTTCTTTTATTTTTCTTTCTTAACTATTTCAGTGATTTATCTACTTATTTACCTGTCTAATACTTTGGGTGATGGATTGGTATTCGAAATGTAGCATGTGTTAAGGCAGTTTCTACTACTATGTAGAATTGTTGAAATTGCTACTTACTAGTAGTATGTGACACCAATCTGTATGTTATAATACAATTAAGTCTTCACGTTCTCTAATACGCTAAACTCTGCATACAACTAAACACTGACAACGTTGTATAACAAAGGCATAAGTGAAGACTTGGGAAATTGTATTAATAGCAGAACTGAACTTCCAAAGTTAACGAACAAAAATCGACAGTGCTTGATCACACAATCTAAATGTCAAAACAATCATAGACCAATTACGCAATGGTGAATATTCGCTAAGGACAGATACAATTAGTTTCTGTAAAAGTCTAATACAGGTACATGAATTATTTTGGTTACAGTTAGAGTTAATAGAGAGGCACAACAACGTCTCTGTTGAAAATATAAGCTATTAAATAGGTGTATAGCTTGAATTTAGTGCTTATCAGGAATCTAAAATACTATTTTTTCGAATGACTGGCAGTAATGAAAATTCATGGAAAATTCCCACTGGGGCATATACAAAGTCCAAACAAGTGATTCAGCGAAGAGACTCTTTTCAACGAATTTATTATCAAGCTGTACAATCGTATATATACATTGTTTTTAAGAAATTATATCCGCTGAGTGATTTGAATCGTAGGTGTGAATATATTAAATAATAATAGTAGTAGTATGAAATGCAATTAAAGTATTTGTGATTATCATTATAGTTAAATGTCAGGTAGCAAAACAATTGATGCCATCTATAAGACAATTCATAGAATGTATAGAACTTGGAAGGGGTGTACAATTATAGGATGAGATGAGTGAAATAATACCGCGGACAATTGAAAGTGAAAATAGCAACAGTACCAACTGACGTAATGAAGGAAGAGTATACAAATTGAACAAACAAAACGAAATGGAAAAAAAGTAGAGCCGAAATATGATTAGGGATTACTATACTTTAGCATAGAGGAACTAAGACCATGAAAGTTGGAGGAGTTGAAGGAACTTTTTCTGTATACAGAGATCTAGTTTTACTGTTTCAATGGCCAAAGCTTCAGCAATACAGATGAGTCGGATACATAGCGATTTGGGCAAATTACTTTTCGCCTTGTAGATGACTTTAAAGGCAGAGGCCGTAAAGATAGGTTGGTCATTATCGACCAGATATCCAGTGACTGTTCTTCTTACTGCTCCACTTCCACCTCTTCGTTACCATGCAGGATAGTGTTCTCGCATCCCCTTGGATAAAATTCAATGAAAATTTTCAAATCTATCTCTGGCCTAACTGTACAGTTCCCCATAACGATTGTTTGACCGCAAAGATATTCGTGAAGATTATCAAATCTCTTGTCTAAATCTTTGTGTTATTTTTATAAGTGGCATAAACATCTGATAACAGCTCGCATATTTTTTAATATTCATCACTAAATGTGACTGTCTGATGTAGGAAGGACCTTTATATGTTCTCTAAAATTAGTTTCACTATTAAACAGTTTTTCAGAAAACTATAAAAGACTATAAACTAAGTGATTAATTACGAGGTTAGTGAATCATAGAAAACTACGAAGCACTGGATAAATGTTTCATCCCAGTTTGCGACTCTTCAGTAGTGTACACCCATGATGTCACTAGGGATAGAACTCAGAATCCTCAGGCTGCAAGGCGAGTCCGTTGACCATTTAACTACTGAGTTGAAATTTGGTGCTCATTTATGGCATTGGTTAGTGGTAAGGTGAAATCATAAATTGAAAGAAGTTAAAATTCATGAGTTATTGAATCCCCACCTAATGGCTATATGGTCAGAGGGCTGGCTGGCTTTCTTCATATACCTACATTTTATAATATCTACCTGGATAAATTAGTGAAGCCTTTTATGTTCCCACTTATAAGTGTAGTAAATGATTTGTTTTCTGCGACGAATGATTACCGTTATTATCCTCTGTATGCTTTCCGGTTGGAATACAGGGCCTCAGCGACACATGCCGATATTCCTCGGCTCATTGTTATTGTCTTTAGGTAGCTCCATGACCACTTACATACAGCCTTTCATTTCCTCTTCACGTAACAGTCTCCATGTTGACCAATCCATCGCTTCCCATCTTGGGATTTCCTTTCAAGTGATGTCAATTGAAGGTCTCCCCACCGTATGACCATTCTATTTCTATTTCCTCCTTCACAGTTGTTGGGTAACAGATTCTAAGGTGGTTAGCTGCTGCAGAAAATAGCTCTCGGTGAAAGACTTCAGTAGACTGTCTGAAATGCTTTTGGTGACAGGTGTGTGAAGTTTTGGAACTATACATAGACGCACTGACGAGACACTAGTGATGAGAATTCTTATCCATTTTGTTGTGCTGAGTGCTGTTGATCTCCATAATGATTTCAGAGTATTGAACACCTCTCTATTTGATCCTGACTGGCCTTCACATCGTCATCCATATCGCCTGCAACTGAAACGAATTAATCATATTCAAATGCTTAACAAAGAAAATAATAATTAACAATGTTTTCAAATGACACAACCATGTTGTTTACTTCATATATCTATCTATACATATTAAAATATGTTTCTCTAAAAGTGATTAACATATCACAGAGTGATAGTATATGTGACAACAAAGTGGACTATATAAACGACTTCAAAAGTCTGCAGAATATGCTAATTCTTGCACAATTTACTCCATGAATTTTAATGTTTATTAGCATTATCACTACCTTATTCTATTTATCACAGACAGTTCATGTGCTCTGTCTGGAAAATTTGTACACATAATAATAACAGTATTAATAGTAATGGTACTACTACTACTAATAATAATAATAATACGTGTTGATTGCCAGTCGCATTAATAATTGCTGAATGTAACATTAAATTAAAGATAATTTTTCAGGACACTTCCAGTGCATAGAATTACAGAAAAAAATTCGGTTAAACTGAATGTTACGAAGTAATTTCACTTGACTGTAGAAATGGTTATTATAAACAAAACACCTATACAATTTAGTTTACTACCGGTTCCTAAGCTGGGAAGATGAGAGGTTAGATAGTTGGAGGGAATCGGCAGGAAGCCTTGGACCTAAGTTTCGTGCTAGTTGGCACTCACCAGTCAGCAAGGTATATCTGCAACCTTGAAGGAACTCATTTCCCTTCTGAGATTCGAACCCGCGTCACCCAGTGCTGCCAACTAGCACGAAACCTAGGTCATGCTAGGCTTCCTGCCGATTGCCTCCAACTATCTAATATCATCAAATCAATGTGCACTGTGACGGCGAGCTACCTAGAATGGTGGTGGCCACATTGCAAACCTGACTGATAGAATTCACTCTGCACTAAAGAAAAGACTAAACATATCACACTAGTGTCCAATGAAAAGATGAGAGGTTATTTGGGTGACACTAGGCACTTGATCCTAGAGTAGAACCCCTATGGGAGACGAGGATATGAACCGCTGAGTATGACGTGGGAGAGATAATTTGAAGAGAAGAAGAAAGCTTATAGGAAAACATGGGGCCAACTAAACTGGAACACAGAGAACAGGGAGGGGTGGAGATGTGCTGGTGGAGCTGTATATTCCATACATAACCCAAAGGAATAATATTATATATATATATATATATAATTATGTCTTATTCGCTAAAATTATTGTTATTATTATTATTCTGAATTTCCTGCTAACTCACTTCATTGAACTGAAATGTTCAGCCCTTGCTAATATGTCTCCAAGATTGGATACTTTACCTTAAGGTTGATGCGACACCCTCTGACTTTGATTTTTACGCAAAAGTCAGAACTTTTCACCTCCAAGAAGACTTATTCCTCTAATATTATATTCAAGGAATTCTATTTAATCCCAGTATATAAATCCAACAACTGTGTAATGCTTACACACTAGTCTTTTCCATTCATTCTTTTCTACTGATTTAATGTTTCTTTTTTTTTTCTAGAGGTAATCAAATCTTTAAATTTTCGGAAGTTAGACACTTAGGCTGTTTACCATCATTGAAATTTCTTTCACTAATCGGTAAGTTGGAGTTGTTTTTTTTTCTTTTACATAGTGGTATAACTAGACAAGTTTCTTTTTGCATGCGAATACCAACAGTTAAATGTTAACTGTATAGTCATTTTTGTTATAAAACACCAGGGTGTTTCATAAATGTATCCAAGGTAGGATAATTTGAAACTAACCAGTAGTATGTATTGTGTCGTATCAGAATTTCATTTAAAATATCTGATTTATTACTACAGTTAATTTGTTTTTTCTTAGGAGTTTCTAATAAGTCATAACTCATTTACTCGGAACAAATATTTTATGTCACGGAATATACATATTTGATCATAGGGAATAAAAAGACAGTTGCAGCGAAGAAAATTTTCTTTTCGACGAAGTCATCAACTAGGTTGTATATTCGTGTATTTATATCAAATGGATGGGAAAGTTCCAGAACAATTTCTGGTTAAGGGTCAAATTAATAAAAATTACAATTAGGAATTAAAATGCCATAATAAACAGGGGGACGGATAAAACTCGAACAAAGTAGCATTATAATAACTAAGAAGATTGACATTGTGCAATGTAGAAATAACAAAATATACAGGATGTTTGGATAAAAAACTAATATGATGAATAATTTTTTATGCAACCAGGGATTAAATATGTAGAAATAGTAAAATGACAAAATAAACAGGAAGAGTGGATATGAAAATATGGTAGTGTAGACAGGGATTAAGAAAACTTAAAATAACATGAATAAATAGGAAGTTTAGATAAGAAAGGCGATGGGATGGTCATTACTAAAAAAATTTTACCTGTTTATAATGGCCATGGCAGGGACAGAGGTTGGATGTAATTCTTTTGGATACAAAGTGTGGGTTTCAGCTTTTGGATAGCTAGCGCCTCAGCTATGCCCAGATGTCTTGATTTGACTTCCTTTGATAGGTTTGATTGAATCTTGTATATTATTTTGAAGGATTTTTCGACTGGCGCTGAATGTCCTGAATTGACCAGATGTTCTGTCACTGAACTGTATATACGTTTTTGGTCTCCTTTTACTAGCCAGACTGGGTAGTTTTCGCGAGCGCGTTTTCCAAGTTGGCGCATGGTACGGTCGATTTACTCAGCTCCACAAGAGCAAGTAAACTGGTATATGCACATTTATGTACGTTTATGAAGACTGCACTCATTTTATTAGGTATGAAGATGATGCTTAATTGGCTGGGCTGAAATAAGTAGAAAAGGACGCGTAACTGAAAACAGATTTCTTATGCTGATTAGCTACATCTCTTTCAGGATTTGTGAAGTTGTTTAATAACATTGTGGTGAGAGCTAGCTGCAAGCCAAAAAATGTAGACAGTAATTTACGTCAATGTTACGTCCTGAATCAGGATCATGAGATGAAAAAATAACAAACCTTAACCTTGAGGAACTCACCAACCAATCATAGCAGACTTAAAGTGTGCAAATACGATTCGCAGATATAGGGCTTAACTGTCTAAGAAACGGCCACAAGCAGTACAGAATAACCTTCAGCATGAAAACAACTAACCAGGAGACGTTGCTTCTCTGCTAACAATAACGCTAACAATAATGTACATAAAAATCTATAAATATCTCTTGATTTTCTCAATAAACTATCTGTTGGCTCGCCCTTGTCTTCTGTCGTTACAACATGAATATGTAAGTATCTGCTACTTCGCGCGTCATTAAAAGTATTCTCAACAGGCCTCCAAAGCCTCAGGATGGTCGGGGGTGGGTACCTTGCGCTGCGGGTTGGTCACCCCTCCGCACACCTCTTGAAATGCTCCCAAATGACCGGGCGTCTTAAATAGCCTCTCCCGAGGAAGTCCTACTCACTGCCTTCTCGTGGCGGAGGTGTTTTTCACCAAAGTGAGAGGGCGAAAGCGGATGCCCGGTGCTCTTCACCGAGTTGACTGTCCACTGGATGACAGTCTAGGGGAGATGGCTAAACCCTGATTCCAAACCTCCAACGACTGGCGTATGAAGCTCACTGGAGCTCACCGGCAGACGTATGGACAAATGGCTTGCTGGATGTCTGGCCCCATTCAAAAAGGCGTATGAACCGAACTCCGGTCACCGGCTGCCAATGGATAGTGGACTCCCTACTCCACTCCTACTGCCTTGTAGGTCACACTTGGTTGTGTACTCTCAAACAAAAGGCCGAGCGATTCTGGGGACATCATTCGTACCAAATTGCCATGAAACTTCACGAACTCTCTTACAAACGACTCTCACTGTAAACCATTGGTACCTCAGGTACATTCTGCATGTTCGTTGGCAGGACAAACTCTCCAACGAAGAAGTGCGTCGTCGCTGCTACAACATCAACCAAATTCCAGTACTGGTCCAACAACGTCGCCTTCGGTGTTTTGGCCATGTTCTGCGCCGACCAGATGACGATCTGGTCAAATCAGTTCTAAATCCCTCGCCATTACCACCTTGGCGATGTCGCAGGGGTGGACAGCTGAAAACATGGCTTGGTACAGTCAAGGCTGATATGGAGTGCCTGGGGCTACAAACCGTCTATGGACTCCGTCTGTGGAACAAGAATTGGATAACCCTGTCACAAAACCTTGCATCAGATCGCCGCGCCTGGGCAGCGATGATTCGAGATGTTCATGAAGCCGGCTCATCCTCCCGTAGGAGATAGCCGAAGTAAAGTAAGTAAGTAACAGGCTTCAGACGTTTATTTACACATCTCGTCGCTCCAAACTAAAGATAAGGCCACCAACCAACGAGGAATATATTAACCAACAAATATGTCGAAGGAAATGGAGATGGTTTGGATATGCGCTAAGGAAACCGTTGAGTAACATCATATACCAGGCCGTTACTCAATTGGGGATCGAAGACTTTGGTGTGAGTACGAGGATGACATGGAGGAGATCGTGTGGGGAGGCAATAAAAGTTTAAAGACAGTCCTGGAGCCAGCTACAAATGACTTCAGAGAACTAGATGAAATGGAGATGTTCTGTGTCAAGCCCTATGTTCTACTCAAAAGCTAAAGCAATAATAATGTACGGACTCCTGTTATCTTCTTAATATACAAATAAGCTCCGCTGATGTAATGCACAGGTATTATCATATATTCTTAGATAAGCGATAAGTTTAGGACTGAACAAAACTGTGAATATCCTACATTAACGGATAATTCAGTCATTCAAAACATTAATTTTTAATAAACTTTACTATCACAATCTGCATTGTGAAAGTAAATGTGATGAAAAAGCTTCGGATAAGATTATATACCTCCACCAAATATACAATGAAAATCGCGGTAACAACAATACTTGAACTCTTTTTTCATAAAATGCTGTGGGAAAATCTTTAATATTAGACAAATAGAAACACCTTTCTATCTAAATTTAAGAAATTTTCACATATAAATAATAGACTTCATTTGCATAGGAAGAAATCAACGTCTGGATTCTGTTGCTCAGTATATTTGAAAAATAAGAAGATAATATAATAAAAATATAAGTTGTAAAATACTGTCACTTATTGTCCAGCATGTGAATTTTCACCGGTTTACAACACTTTAGTCTTACCATGAATATTCTATCTTCAGAATTTAACTGAACTTCATACAAGCATACAAAAAAGGTGGGGAAAAATAGTAAATCCCAGGAAATCATTATAAACAGAAATGTAACAGACAGATAGAGAATAAGTAAATCAATAATTATGAGAATTTAAAGGAGATGAGAGTTCAAAGAGAGAGAGAGATAATCCATCTGCCCTATTAAAGACGATTTTGAGGCATGTTACCAACAGTCTCTAGCAGTTGATTCTTAGTATCTCAAGTACAGCCTACAGTCTGCACTTCCCTGTGTGATTCACAGGGAAACGTCATGGAATCTTATAACGAAGACTGAAAATGTCTAATTTGTTCTCCTTGTCACCACCTATGAAGATCAATGCATTATTTACTGTTGAAGTAGTGGCAACATACTTATTCTTGTCATTATGTTCCTCAGTATCTAATCATGTGAAGATAAAATTAAGTTATTTCGATTGTTGGGACTCGATCAGTTACAGTCTTCTTCTCGTTAGTAATTGGTAGTGACTGAGAAAACACTTGAAACCAAGAAGAACCCAGTATAACTGTCTCGTGCTTAGCTTGGATCCTTCAACAGTGCTCACCAACACCTCTACAAAAACTCGAGACTAGAACCATTAAGTTACTATGTAAGCACGCAACCGTTTCGCCACTAGAATGGAACGCGGCGAATAATGATTAATAACTTTTGCTATTTGATCAGAACACCTTAATTTATTATTTAATATGAAATGGATTAACTTGGGTTCATATGACAAGAGTTTATGCATGGGGTGTATTAAGTTCGGTATGTAGATGGATACTCATGAGTGATAATGGGGAACGCCAGTTCTGTGTGACAAGATGGTAAAAGATGAAAATCACGAGCCACTAGTATTTCGCACAGTTATGTCCTGTAGTCTATTTTCGGTTGCGTAGTGAGTCCGCCCATTCTAAACTATCCGAATATAATGAAATTTCTATCCAGTAGTGTTTCTCTTTTTCATTATCTCTACTGACTGATATCACGATGTAGAGAGATAGATCTCGATATTCAGACAATAGCTGGAACCAGTGGAGTCTCATGAAATTTACAACTGTTAATTAAGAAGTATATTAATATATGTGTAAAATTTGGGCACTGTAGTAGTAAATAATTCCATATTAGTTTGTTTATTAGATGTATCACACAGTGAAACAGTATTATTTACTGGATGTCATCTCGAACAAAACTATAAAAACTATATAAAATAAAACTCAAGTTTTGAAGTCATGTGATTATGATTGATATGATTATGTTCGAAACGTCATCCCGTAAATAATAATGTTTCACTGTGTGATACATCTAATAAATAAACTAATATGGAATTAAAAAGTACGATTGAAAACTTCACCACAATCTATCTCATATCTTATCTCTTGATCTTCAGATATTAATCTTGATTAAAAAAACCTCCATTTCTCATAGAATCTTCATTTCTGATTTTTACTGAATTACTCTTCTAAACACCTGTATCATTTATTAATCAACCCAATGAAATATGACCGTTTAATCAGGTGTTTTTATTCGAAATAATTTGGTAGAACATTTTATACTACTGTTAGTAGTTAGTTAAATTTATCACAATACATTTCTTTCTGTTGTTGTATATATTAGATAATCCAGTTACAGAAAAAGATGATTATCGTCAAATGGTAATTGGATTGGTAAATAAATTACAACGATTGGATAAACAACGTGTTTCAGACAAAATTCGTAGTGTGGCTGTTGATTTTGTAAATAAACATGTAAGTTTTCATCAGAAGAAGAATTCCTGGTTGTTTATTGTAGTCATGCATAGTCGTTGCTTTGATTATTTAAGGAGTTCGATAGATGAGATTTCGAATCTGTACTGAATGAGATGGCTAGGACTCGTGTTATGCATGCTGTGCCATCACCTTGCTCGTCCAGAAATGTTAGCTGAAATAGGATTAGATTAGGAAGGAGTTAGGCGTGATCACATCAAAACCTGGTATCAATCCATGAAGGATTTGACAGTTGATTTAAGTCAAATGGAGAGGTCTAGATAATCTGGTTGGAGTTTTCAGAACTCTAGGAACCAATTGATTGATTTTTGGGGGGGATATGGCTCAAAATCATCCTCAATGGTGCATATCCATTCACCCTCCAAGAATTGCTAGATCAGTCAAATCCTCATTATTTACCATATACGTATTCTTTCTCCCGTACACATCTGTTCTCTGTAGTTTCCTTGAATTTATTCGCTACCTTTCTGTGTCACGTGAGGTGTGACGTCTTCATTTTGTACGAGTGTCTACGTTGAGTTATTTACTGCACAACTAATTCGTCATTTCAGTAAAATTCTCATTAAAGGTAAATATCTTTGATTGAACACTAGTAACTAGTGTGACACGTCTCGTCTTTTCTTTGGTACAGACTGAATTCCATCAGTCAGGTTAGCAATGTGGCCACCATTCTAGGTAGCTCGCCATCACCGTGCACATTGATTTGATGATATTAGACGATTGGAGGGAATCGGCAGGAAGCCTTGCACCTAGGTTTCGTGCTAGCTGGCACTCATCAGTCAGCAAGGGGAGTATCTGCCACCTTGGAGGAAGTCATATCCCACCCCTCCGACATTCGAACCCGTGTCACCCAGTGCTGCAGTCAGGGACGTTACCACTGAGCTATTAGGGCTCGCGACTGACCTACTGTAGGAGTATATTGGATACTTTGATTGGACGCTAGTAACTAGTGTGATGTGTCTAGTCTTTTCTTTGGTGCAGACTGAATTCTATCAATGATTTTAATGAATAGTAAATTTGAAATTCTATGGCCAAAGTGTTTTTGCTCAACAGCACTTTATTTTAATTATCAATCAATATTTTAGATGTGAATATTTATCGCGGTGGGTTTCTTTTAACTCACAGTTCAAATTCATGTAAATATATAAATAATCAAGTGTTGGTTTGTAGGGATTTGATTGGTTACAGGATTTTCATCATGAGCTGACATTAGTTAGAGAACCATTGGAAAACCTGGGAGTACTGGACAGCCAGCTGTTTCGTCCTAGTTCGGGACCCTTCAGCAGTACACACCCACCGGGATTCGAACCCAGGACCTTCTGGTTACAAGGCGAGCTCGTATACTCGTTGTGCTCATGCTTACCACCAAGGTTGTATACATAAGTGTCTTTTAGCATTCTCACTGGCTGTAAATTTCTTTTTGTGAATTATCTGTCATATCTTGTACAAAATGTTGGAAAACAGATGAAAAATAATGACCTATTTTTTTTTCAGACAGCTGCACTTTTTATTGTTTTTGTGCTATGTCAGATATGTATCTAACTGAAATACAAGCTGAAACGTAGATATTATCTAAATAACCTCAACCTTTTTAAGCATATATCATCTTTCTTTTTGAGAATACAGAATTCTAGAATATGACGTCACAGGTGTATATGTACAAAAGATAAATCCGTTAAAATATACGTGACAATAGCATTTTGAAGACATAAATCTATTGTGTGTCTATTTTCTTGAAAGAGAGGTAAAGTGCTATTGATTAGGACTGTAAACTTTTTGACTAGAATGGATTATATTAGTAGGAGAACAGGTAGAAAGAAACACCTGCAAATTGTGCAGATGAAACGCATATACATGACTTTACCGTTTAAAGGAGACGCAGCAACTGAACTGCTGGCATCGAAACTCCAGAAAATAATAGCTAAAACATTCTTTGCCGCAACATTGCGTTTAAAACTCGCCACTGGTTGTATAATTCTAACACAGATGAAGGATAAGCTACCAAGTCTGGCCACTTCAATGTGCATTTATAAATTTAACTGTTCATGTGCAGACAGTTACATAGATAGAACGACTCAACAAGCCTATAGTCACCTTCTGGAGCATTGTCCAACATAATTAGGTAAAGGAGTTGTTAAGTCAATCAGAAGTTCCATACTGGCACACCTAGTGGACACGAAGCACACGACTGACAAAAATTCAGCTTGATATAATAGAGAAGATTTGTAGGTCAGCTGGATTATTTTGAATTACTTGTGTCCTCTGAGCTGGTTGATTCAACTGCGATGCTCAACTATAGTGGTAATAACCCAATCACTCATAAAAGAAAGTGTATGCAGACACTGCCTAAAAGAGTCCAAACACACTGTAGCACCCGGTGTTAAAGAGAATGGAGGAAAAATATCTACTAACTGTCTTCAAAAAGAATGAATATCCTCACAATTTCATCAAAAAGTGTTTAAACTCGAGTCAACACCAACAACAAGCCAATATCAAAGACCAAAAGAAAATTCATCTCACCATATATAAAAAATATCGCTGAAATAACAGCTAGAATATTAAGACCGTTTGAAGCAGATATAACACACAGACCAGCCAACGTAATCACTTCATTCGATATTGTGCAAACCAAAAGATCCAACCGATAAAGGCAACAAAATTAGTACCATTTACAAAATAAGTTGTGTGATCTGCAATAAAAATTACATCGATCAGAATGGCGTCCCCTTCATATGAGAATCCAAGATCACAAATTGGCTGTAAAACGACATGATATATATTCTTTCATATCTATGCATGTAGATAACCACGGACACCAATTTGATTGGGGGAATGTAGAAATTTTAAATAAAGGAAACACCAAAAATGTCAGGGAATCCCTAGAAGCCTGGTACTCAGGTGAATCAGCGATTAACAAACACATTACTATAGACGAAATTTACCAATTAATAAAACATAAATCACATGATAAGAAAGTTCAAATTTTAAGTCAATAAAAATTATCATGACAATGGTTGCCAGGAGACACAATTATATCACTCATCGAAAATCCAAATGAGTCCATTCCATACTAAAACCTGCACTGAAGATGTTATCTAGAAGGACGACCAAAGCTTCACAATTAAATCAACCAGCTGAAATAACACAACTAATTAAAACAAAATTCAGCTTTTACAATTCTATACAAGGTGCCATCTTCACTCCCTAGGTTGGTACGTCTTCGGTTGCTAAGCATAGGTTAGGCAGTTGCCATGATGATTTTTCAATCCAATCTCAGTGTTTTGGAAACGTTTGTTCCGTCTCTCTCCCTTCCTTAGCATTCGCCCTCAACCTAAAATAGGTATCTTTCTCAGTGACACCACATAACTGTAAATATTATCTTATTATGTATACATTTTTTATGTATAATGCTAATTGTGTTGTTAATATCATGCTGTGCTGTCGTTGTACATTTTAATCTCGGTTTCACAATTTATTATTATTATTATGTTATCTAATTTCTATGTGACAATAGTTATTTCCCCCTCCACCCCTACTAGTATACACATTCTACGTATAGACTCCCCGCTGCCCAAATAATTTAAAGACTTGAATGAATTTATCCTTGTTATTAATATAATGACGATGATCACCTCGATTGTTATTCACTAATACAGATACCTGAACTCTGATCCTATATTTTTTTTAACCATATTATTTCAAACGCTTACAACTAAGATTTCATTATGTAAATTTAAAGCCTGATGAAAATTTACAGAAAATACGTATTTATATATGTCCAAACCAAGTTGACTTTTAACGGTTTGAAAAAATTTGGGCATTGGGTATATGATATTCATTATAATAGAGGTTTTTGCATTTCCCAATGAATGAAAAACAAAACGATATTGTTGTTTTTACTGACGTTTCGCTATTTAATGCTAATAGCTTTATCAAAGTATTATTAAACCGGAATTTACAAAATCTCAGCATATATATAACAAACAGTTAGGGGGTGAGAAAATAAACATAGGTCAAGTTAAAGGGACATATTGAAAGTAAAAATAGCGATGAAGATAACTATACCAAATAACAAAGGTAATAGTATGTCTGTTATGATATCGAAAAAAGAAAGAAAAGTTTACTAACTTGATCATCGTTCGTCTGTCTGGGGCATTTTTAGTTGTTAAGTTGGTGAATTGGTAAAGATAACAAAATCATCACTTCGGAAGCAGAATCAGACATCGGTGAACTACCATTTCTAGACTGCCTAGTTAAGAGAAAGGAAAACGGACATTTTAGTATATCCATATTCAGGAAGAAAACCCACTCAAATAAATATTTAGACTTCAAGTCATCACACCCCATCAGCGCAAAGATTTCAGTTGTTTCAAGTCTTCTTAGACGAGCACACTCTCTGATAACCGACGAGAAAGAAAAAGAAGAAGAAATATCAAACATTACTGAGACTCTCAAGCAAAACAACTACCCATGGAACTTCATCAACAAAATCAACACAGACATCAAGTATGGCCGAAAACGCATCCCGAAAACATGGACTTCAACAGTCGTCATTCCATATAGAGAAGAGACGTCAGACGATATCAGAAGAGTACTCAATCAGCTCGATATTAGAGTTTTCTTCAAAACATCAGACACACTTCAAAGCAACCTTGTCCATATAAAAGACCAAATCCCTAAAGATTCGCTATCTAATTGTGTCTATAAGATAAAATGCTTGGAATGTGATGCGATATACATCGGACAAACTTCTCGAGAAATCAAAATCAGAAGAAATGAACACCGTAGAGCATCTCTTCGACCACCGAAGAATCCTGTTGAACTACAAAGACTTGAAAAATCATCAGCCATAGGTCTACATGCTATAGAATCAGGCCACAAAATTGATTTTGACAATGTTGAAATAATCCAGAAAAACTTCAGAAATCACAAAGAACGTTTAATATCAGAAGCACTTCATATCAAGTGGAATCAAAATTGCCTGAATAGGAATGATGGACTAAAACAGAATCTGACCTGGTTACAACACCTCCCTCCCCCCCCCCATCAAGTGACAAAACCAACACGAATGTGATAAGCACTTTCATTATGTAAACACACTCTGGTTTTATAATCTCATACACTTATCAAATCCAACAATCTACACATGATGATTTTGTTATCTTTACCAATTCACCAACTTAACAACTAAAAATGCCCCAGACAGACGAACGATGATCAAGTTAGTAAACTTTTCTTTCTTTTTTCGATATCATAACAGACATACTATTACCTTTGTTATTTGGTATAGTTATCTTCATCGCTATTTTTACTTTCAATATGTCCCTTTAACTTGACCTATGTTTATTTTCTCACCCCCTAACTGTTTGTTATATATATGCTGAGATTTTGTAAATTCCGGTTTAATAATACTTTGATAAAGCTATTAGCATTAAATAGCGAAACGTCAGTAAAAACAACAATATCGTTTTGTTTTTCATTCATTGGGAAATACAAAAACCTTTATTATAATGAAAATACGTATTTGCTTAAATCGTGTTTTATAACTAGATAAGTGTGAAAAAAGGAGTTGTTTGATTGTGCAAAATGCCAACTGATTACGACTGTGGAAAAGAATGTTGCATTGTCATCCAAAGAAAGTGTGGAGCAATAAGGACAAGACCCACATTTAATACTTCAAGTAATAATTTAATTAAAAGCTAAGTTTTATTGGAGGCAACGCGATAATTCTCAACAAAAACTATCATCTAACAAGTGATACTGTTTTTTTTTTATTCCTTCACGTTCCCAGTGGAACATAGGGCTTCAAGCTAGTGGCTTGAAGTTTCTGTAGCAGTGTTTACTTTACAGGATGGAGTTGCTAGCCTCATGCCCAACCTTTCCTCGTCACAAGCATTATTTCTGGCTTAGGGAGGTAAAGGAGTGCGCTGGCCGGGGATCGAACCCCGGACCATGTGCATGGTCGGCGAGCGTCCTAACCGCTATGCCAGTGACGCACTAATTAATTAATTAAAATGCCGTTATGATATGCGGTAGCAGTGTAACTTTAGTTCGCAACCAATAGCTGCTACTCTAACATGGTGGTTGGGTTTGTATATCAGGATGATCCAAAGAGCTACACCTTCTGAAATAAATATTCTTGCAGGTCGCACCACTCGCCACAAAGGCCATTTTGATAGCAGTTAGACTGAAAGTAGTGGCTACCAGAGTGTAAGTTGCTTGCACTATGTCGGGCAGTTTGATAGCCATATTGTACTGGTGGAGAACACGGATGTAGGATCACTAAGGTGTTTCTGTCAGATATCCAGTGAGTTAACTATGCTTCCACTCCGCTTTGGAGAGGAAGGGTTAGAAAAGAATGACTTCAAAAATCTCACATCCTGACCTGTCCAACCACAGTCTCTGGCCAGAAGTAAGGTTTTCATTTGGATACAGTTCAAATAACCACTTCATATAGGCCTCAGAAGGTTATGCCCTGGACTTTACTTTCACGTGACACTAATATGACTCTAATAACTGCCATATAAGTATAGATGTTAATTGTTAAGTATTCAGGAAAGTCTTATTTTTTACTCTGCAAGATTTCTGTGAAATTTGAGTATTCGAAACAAAATAATTTCCAAATACTACAGACATATAAATATTTATTTTGGTGATTTTTATGCTCAAGAAAGTTAAACAAGAATACAGCGCTAAATAATATTGACTGAAATAACTACAGGAGATTTTACTTACATATTCAATAAAGCATTGTGTGCATTCCATTAACTAAACTTGAATCCAGCCATAGACGCTTAATTAAAATTGCATATCATGCATTTGTAATTAATATTTACATCAATATAAGAAAAATAGGTGAAGTGAAATTGTAAAACTGCTAAGCGTTAGCGAAAAGAAGGTACACTATCTATTCCGAAAGTTATTAAACGTTAGCTTGAATGATATACTGGGAAAGTTGTTTAAGGACTAGAATCAGTTATTTGTGGATTCCTGATTGTAATGGACTGGATCATGCCACAGATCGTGGAAAGTGAGGAGACGGGCATACACTGAACCAACAAGAAGATTCTAGAAGACCTTAACTTTGCTGATGGTTTATTTCTAATCTCATAACATAGGTTAGAATATTTACCAGTCGTTTTAAGCACGCTCATCTTCAATTTACTATTTGACAGATTTCTCTACCCAACAATAAAGTTAACATTTTTACACATATCAGCTGTGATGCTTGTATTCATCGACATGAAGCGTCAATAACTGAGAAATAATGTAATCAACCTGAGGCACGTAATTATATAAATAGTTTTAAAGAAAATGACTAATATCAATGCTTAAAACACAACCGGTTTTTGTCTGTTTTTCTCTGAATGCAACACAGAATGTAACCAAGATTTTTGTTCAAATCTTTTTAACGTACGTTATGCAGTTGTAACTTTATCACCGGTAAGTTAACTACTGAATTCATGAAATCTTGAAACCGATCAAATCCCACCCCCCCAACCAACAATTGAATATCTCTTTCTGATGATCACCAGTGACTGGCCCTATTCAAGTAGGTAGTTACCTGAGTTCTAGTGGGAAGTTGTGACCAATGGGGTACATCAGGTGGGGAAAGAGTACAAATACTCATCACCGATGGCATTGACTACTGGTCACAATATATTATGAACTGGCAGAAGTTGGAATTCATGGACTGGTCATTAGGTCGGATCTCAGTGACTTAATGGTCTACAAGCTCGCTATCCTTGTAATCAGAAGCTCCTGGGTTAGAACCCTGGTGGTGGGCGCGTACCAATGAAGAGTCCTAAACGAGGACGAAACAGCTGTCCAGCACTTCTAAGTTTTCCAATAGCTCTCTGACTGATATTGTGGTGAGAGCTGTCTACTAGCCAAATTGGTAGACAGTAATTTACGTCAATGTTTACGTTCCCAAGATTTGTCGTGAGAAAATGTGAACAAAGATTGATTCAAAACCGACCACAGCAGACTTTGCGTAGGCGGATGCAGTTAACATATAGAGGATTTGACATTCAAGAAACAGTCACAAATAGATGAAGGATTAACTTTACGTGAGAAACAACCAATCGGAAGACTGTGTTTGTTTGTTTAAATATCCATAGTAATGTACATGAAAATATATAAACATGCGTTGATTTCCTTAATAAATGATCTGTTGCCTGACTCTTGCCTTCTGTCGTTACAATATCACCTCATGATGAAATCCTGTAACCAATCAAATCCCTGTAAACCGACACCTGATAATTGAATAATCATTTTTCTTTTATACACTGAAATAGGCTGATATTTTCGAACAAGAAGCTAATGAACCTGATATTATTGAAGAGCAAAATGCTGAAGGTATGGAAGAAGGCAAAGAGAAAGCAGAAGAGGCGGATGAAGAAGAAGAAGAGGAAGGTGGAGAAGGTGAAGGTGAAAAAGATGAAGGAGAAGAAGATGCAGAACCAGAAGATGATGATGATGATGAGGTGAGGATGTAAATCTTTTCGTTAGAACAAATTCGGTGACAGACTGCCTTAAATGTAGATATTTAAATATATAGATTCATGGCACTATCACAATATTTAGCAGCATAAATATTTCAGAATTTCCGTTTAATGACGACTTCCACTCAAAATTTGAAACGAATGTTAGCGCTCTTTTCAATATGGTTGTCACTTAAAACATTTCTGTTAGAATGATTATATGTATGTCATCATGACTCCATATGAGGATAATAAATAGCATTAAAGGCAGACATTATAGCGGAGCATTTACTTCATTCCCATAAAAATTTTTTCACATTAACCACTAGTACATGAGAACACCCTTGGGTTTGACTCTGCCTACTTGAACCTGGACAACTGGATGGTATAGTCAGCCTTTACAGAATAATTATGGCTCATACCTTGGTCCATTGAACTCATGATCCGCGTAGCTGATTTCTAATTGGATGACAATAGAGCACCACTGAAATTATCTTTCGGAATACAGTGATTTTCTGTTTCCCATTCTCTAAGTCATTAGTGTTATGTGAGATACTTTCGCTATTTGACGATTTGGTATATAACAGATTAGTCACCCAATACTCCCAAAAAGTACACTGATAGATATTCAGAACAAAAGATAAGCTATAAATACAATATCAATGGCATCAAAGTTCCTCAATAAAACTGATTCATTGAGCTGAGCTGAATTTCTAACTCAAAAACTTTGCACAAAACTGCAGCAGTTCAAGGAGTTGCACTTTATACAAACATCCATAAAGGTGGAGGATAAAAGTACCTTAAAGTTACAATAAACGGAAACGTCGGGCGGGGGGGAAGAATAAAGTAGACTTAATCAATCCGAAACATCACATCGAGTGAATGCATCTGCGCCACTGAGAACAGTTTTGAGTTATATTACCGAAAATCCTCACGTGTCTATGGTTCTATGGTAGATTGGTCGCCACCAGGGTTCGATTCGCAGTCCCAAATCTTGCTACCTAGTTTACCAACCAATAGTAATCCTAGAAAAGAGTGGGAGTGAAATGAGAAGGTAGCAACCCCGCACCATAAAGCCAAAACTACTGCAAAGGAATGAAAAACACCAACGGCCTGTAGCCATTGATTCTTAGCATTTCGGGGACCCTAACTAGGATAAACTATCCAACTCTCATCGGAATATTCATAGTATTTCAATTTACCAAGTGACAATCTGCATCTCCATGTGAATATACAAATAATTTGTTACCTAAACAACTCAGTTATTTGTTGTTCATTTCAAAAAAGCATATTTTGAATGTGTTAACTTACTGCTATTTTTTCATAGACTTTTTCAATTATCATTCTCACTATTTATAAGTTTTTAATTGAAGGTTCAACAGTTTCAGTCAATACTGAAATTGTAGATATATATTTCTACTTCTTCAGAGAATTTTAGTTTGATTTATCTGTGTTCCAGTACGCACGTTCTCAATGACACCTAAAATTCTCAGCAATGTCAAGGTACTGCCAAGATTATAAATACTTAAGGCAACAATAACACACATAATTATACCAGTATATTCAGCTAAAAGAATCTTTCAGATGAGACACGTCCTGAACTCCACGACAAGCCGGTATAAGATTATGTCAGACAACAATATTTTAATAACCTCACATCTTCAGACATACCTCAGAGAATATATATTTGACTCGTGTCTACTAATAGGGTTTATTTGAGTGTCAATTTAACAAGTGTGAAAAGGGTGAGGAAATGTACAAAAGGAGCATATGAGAGTGATAATAGTGAGTTAATTATTAAAGCAAAAGCTAACTAAAAGTGAAATTAGAATGAAAAGAAAAAATCCAAAATATATTTTATTTACAAGGAACGATTAGTGAAGAGGTTTGTGAAGAATCGTGAAGAATCGTCTTTCAAGATCATCTACAAAGTGAAGCCAAATGGTACAAAGAGCGTCAGGTTTCGGGCTTTGTGTATGGCGGAGGCTCTGGCAATTCATCAATACAACCCTAAACTCTGTATACAGAAAAAGTTTATCCAGTCTCTTATTCTACCTTGGTCTTAACCTCTTCACTAATCGTTCCTTGTAAATAAAATATATTTTGGATTTTTTCTTTTCATTCTAATTTCACTTTTAGTTAGCTTTTGCTTTAATAATTAATTCACTATTATCACTCTCATATGCTCCTTTTGTATATTTTCACACCCTCTTCACACTTGTTAAATTGACACTCAAATACCTTTATTCTCACTTAATAGGGTTTAGTTGTTTGAATTTTATACTTATTTACTATTCCTGCTTAGAACAATATGAAAACATGATTTGTTTTTTAAGAAAATTACACATTTACCAAATTGACCGTGCATATTTCACGGCAGTGTATAAGAAATAAAAGTAACACCTCATGGCAAGCATAAAGAATAACAAGCAGACCCAACAACTTACCAAATGGCCCTGACAAATTAATCCCAATAGTTGTGTCGTAAGATTAAATTACTAATTACAAAAATATATTTAAGACGAATAAGTGAAGAAAACTCAAGTAAATTGGGGTTACAATCTTTAAAATATTGACAAATACAGGTTCTAGTAAATGCTCAGTAAATCAAATCTGAGAAGAAACGCCATATGCGAAAAGCCTACATGGAATGAACAATTTATCAACTTTCAAAGCTTCATACCCTTAAGCAGAAAGAATAACCTTATATACACTCTTTCCTCAAGGATTTAGATATGCAGCGAGGAAGGGATTGACGAAGGATTGAGTAATCTTCGGGGAACCTGGATGGAAAACAGTTTCCCGCTTAGGTACATAGACAAGAATCTAAAATTAAAGAAGAAGAAGTCCAATCCGTCCCGAAGAAGATATTTCTGCTTAATCTAGAATTCAAAGGTGACATTGAAGCAGAAATCCTTCGCAAACGCCTCTGCAAATCTCTGAGGAAAACATACTTTGCCGCGAGCCTACGACTGACGTTTTCCTGCAAGAAACTGTTCAGCCAGAACGCGAAAGACAAGCTGTCACATTGGGCCACCTCAAAGTGCATATACCAGTTAACTTGCTCTTGTGGAGCTGAGTACATCGGCCGTACCATGCGCTGACCTGAAAAACGCGCTCGTGAACACCATCCAGCCTGGCTAGTAAAATTAGATCGAAAACGTGTATATAGTTCAGTGACAGAACATCTGGTCAATTCAGGACATTCAGCGCCAGTCGAAAAATCCTTCAAAATAATATACAAGATTCGATCAAACCTATCAAGGGGAGTAAAATTAAAACATCTGGGCGTAGCCGAGGCACTAGCTATCCAAAAACTCAAACTCACGCTATGTATCCAGAAGAAATACATCCAATCCTTGTCCCTGCCATGGCTTTCATAAACAAGTAATTCTTTAAATAGTGACTATCCCACTGCCTTTCTTATCCAAACTTCCCGTTTATTCATGTTATTTTTAAGTTTTCCTAATCTCTATTTACACTACCATATTTTCATATCCGAACTTCCTGTCTATTTTGTCACTTTATTATTTCTACATCTCTAACCCCTAATATCGATCTTCTCAGTAATTATGATGCTACTTCGTTTGAGTTTTATCCGTCTCCCTGTTTATTATGGCATTTTAATTCCTAATTGTAATTGCATCAATATGACCCTTGACCAGAAATTCTTCTGGAACTTTCCATCTATTATGTAATTTCACTAATTCAACCTTTGACCTGAAATATTTCTAGGATAATACTATAACCTATCTACCTTACTATATTCTGTATCCGATCTTCGTGTTTATGACCCCTTGTAATATTATTAATTTGACCTTTGACCAAATGCTAATTGCCAAAGCCTTATCTAACCCTAAATGTGCCCCTTAACCAAAACTATAAGCAAACCGTAACCTCAACTTCATACAACTGGTTCCCTTGATAGATTTCGTCTTCCTTTCGTTATCGTAATCTTAACTTTAACCCTAAATACTACCCTGAGTCTTACCCTTAATTAACCATGAAACCTAACCTTTACCTACTATCAATTTTAAACCTAAACGAAGTCCAACCATTGTCTTAATCCTAAGGCAATTGTAAACCTAATTCTAAATCAAAAACAAGATCAGCGAAATTGCTCGTGAATAGAATAGATGTTAAAAGAGGAACAATCTGATTGTTTTTTTTCAACGTCATCGTTTCAAGCCAGAACAACAGTGGTTTGTGCAGAATAATACTGTACCATCATTGTTTATTTCGTTGACTTCTCATCAGCTGCTCACAGCCTAAATAAATTATGAGGTTTATGTACAGAAAAGTTTTAACATACTTGCAAATTTTTCATGATGTCAGTTGACAGAAGGTTCCGCAATTAGTGAACAATGCTCAGAAAATTACTCCTTGACCATTGTATGCATTTATTTATTTTTTTTAAGTTTCAGCTGCCTGTGTAAAAACTATATAAGCGGTCATAGGTGCCTGCGTTCTATCTCCCGCGTGAAGTGGTATCATAAGGTGAGCAATTTTGAGGTTAGGCGTCGAGTGCTAGGTAAGGAGGGGAAATCAATAGAGGAGGCTGTGAAATTACATCGACTGAGATGGTTAGGACATGTTTTACGTATGCCTAGCCTAGCCATCGCCTTCCTCGATGGGCAATGTTAGCTGAAATAGGGCCAGGCTGGAAAAGAGCTAGCGGTGGTCAAACGAAAACATGGCACCAGTGAATGAAATCCACAACAGTTAGTCTAGGCCACGTAGTGAAGGTGTAGACTTCCTGACTGGTTGGGGTCCTCGGGACGGTAAAAACCAATGGTTGGAAACAATTGGTGACATGGTTCAAAATCGTTCTCAGTGGCGCAGATGCATCCACTCCTTGTGACTTATGATTTCCAATGAAACTGTTTTGTTCTCCGTTATTACTATTCCTTTGTCTCACACCTCTGTTTACTGTCTCTAATATGCATTTCTCCTACTTTCTTGTGTTGCTTTGTGTGCTACATGGAGGGAGTGTGGCGACTTGA